AGGGAAAAGGGCGGCCTATAAATAATAAATAAAATCTAAATCTAAATCTAAAACTAGGTAACATCATCAGCGCTAGTCACATCAAGCTCAGACAGCACCAAGGATCCCTTACTGGAAGTCAATGCCAGAAATTGGCAAAAAAAACATCATAAAGAGCAAACACATTACTGCAGGATGGTGAAAAAAGCCATAAAAGTGAACTGGCAAAATACCAAAATACTGTCAAGGGAGGAGCTGCTGTATGGCCATCTTCAAAATGATCATCAGTAGCTTTTGAGGGTGTTGTAACTTCAACTAGTCATTGAGTGACCAGTCATAGATCAAGGACTACCTGGATAGGTACCTGAGCCGTGGTGGCGCAGTAGTTAGAATACAGTTTTGCAGGCTAATCGTGCTGACTGCCGATTCCCAGTAGTTTGGCAGTTCGAGTCTCACCAGGCTCAAAGTTGACTCAGCCTTCCATCCTTCTGAGGTGGGTAAAATGAGGACCCAGATTGTTGGGTGCAATAGGCTGACTCTGTAAACCGCTGAGAGAGGGCTGTAAGCACTGTGAAGCGGTATATAAGTCTAAGTGCTATTGCTATAAATAAATACCGATTCTGACAGCAGCTGCACTAGCTTTCACGCCACAAAAATAAATTCATTACTTAAAGTTGAAAACATGAGTTGAAAGCACTTTTATAGACGTTTCAGTCCTTATAAAACTAATGCTGAGATCAGAACTCAGTTGAATATCTATTCCACCTTCCCCAAAAGCTCTTGATGGGTTAAATCAATAACATGCTTTCCTGCAAACTACTCAGTGTATTTCAAGACTGTCAGGAAATACAACAGAAAACAAATCTCTCCCACTCATCTCTGGCATAGGAGGGCAGTTTCCTGGTTTTGCCTCCAGGGTGGCCTTCAGCAAATACCAAACTCTACTGAATTTTCCTGCTTCCTGGTATTTCATTTACCTTTCCTGGTATGCTGGCCAAGAGAAGGAGATGTGGATTAAACATTAATGTATGAATCCTATATGGATGGATGAAAGTATGAAAGCATCGGAATGAGGCAAAGGAGATTGTATCAAGGATTACGTATTGATTGATGGAAAGTGTCAGAATGGAGATAAACTAATGGATTTATCTCCATTCTTTTTGTATGTGTATTTGCCTGATTGTGTGGGTGTGAAAAAGGTAGAATGGGAAACAGCACAAGAAAAGGAAGCAATCTCAACCACTTTGCTGTTATCCACAATTAATGGAGAGATGGCTAATATTTGTGCAAATGGATCAGTCCATGTAAAAAATGTGTTGTTACAGAATAGATAAATGAGGAAAAAGAAGAGTCAGTGCCTTCATCCACTCTTGATTTTGATTTCATCCATTTGTGGAATTAACACTAACACTATCCATCCCTACAAGGCAGGCTTCAGCTCATGTCACCTGTAGGTACGTAACAGTGATGGGTTTCAAAAATTTTTAGAACCTCTTCTGTAGGTGTAGCTTTGTGGGAGTGGCTTGCCGGCCATGTGACCAGGTGGGAGTGGCTTGCCAGCC